ACCATCCCCATCATCACCAGCATCATCATCATCAGCATCATCAGCATCATCAGCATCATCAGCATCAGCATCATCCGCATTGCCATAAGCATCAGCATCAGCATCAGCATCATCATTAACATCAATATCACCATCATCAGCAGCAGTCGCATCATCCTCATCATCATCATCATCATCATCATCACTGCTTTGGGCACGAACGCTTCGGCTCCGACCTTCCTTGGAGAGAGGGATACTCATCATCAGCAGCATCAGCATCACCATCATAAATACTACCAGCATCAGCATACTCAGCATCGTCGAAATCATTTGCAGCAGCATGAGCATCATCATCAGCATCATCAAAATCATCCTTATCATTAAAGTCATCATCATCATCATCATCAGCATCATCATCATCATCATCATCATCACCACCATCATCATCATCATCATCATCATCATCATCATCGTCATCGTCACCATCATCGCTCATCGTAATCACAATCATCAGCATCAGCATCATCATCATCATCGGCATCCTCATCAGCAGCATCAGCATCATCAGCATCAGCATCATCATCACCATCATAATCAGCATCAGCATCATCATCATCAACATCAGCATCATCCACATCATCACCATCATAAGCATCATCACCATCATCACCATCAGAACCAACAGCATCATCATTATCAGCAGCAACGTCATAATCATCATCAGCATCATGATCAGCAACATCAGAATCATCATCATCAGCATCATCCGCATTATCATCACTAGCATCATCATCATAATCATCATCATCACCATCATCAGTCATCAGCATCATCTTGAGCATCATCAGCACCCTCATCATCATCATCATCATCATCATCATCATCAGTATCATGACTATCATCAGCATCATCAGCATGAGCAGCATCATCAGCATCAGCCCCATCATCAGCATCATCAGCATCATCAGCATCATCATCGTAATCATCAGCATCATCATCATCAGCATCAGCATCATCAGAAGTATCGGCATTAGCAGCATCATCAGCAGTGCCATCACCATCGCAGTGAGCATCATCATCAGTATCATCATCACCATCCTCATCATCATCAGCAGCACCATCAAAGTCATCATCGTCATCATCACAATCATCATCACAGTCATCTTTATCAATAGCATCAGCATCACCATCACTATCACCATCAGAATCATGGTCAGCATTATCATCGTCAGCATCATCAGCATCATCAGCATCATCATAAGCCGCATCATCAGCATCATCATCAGCATCATCATTATCATCATCACCAGCATCATCATCAGCGTGATCATCATCATCATCAGCATTATCAGCATCATCATCATCATAATCATCATCATAAGCATCACCAGCATCAGCAACATTATCATCATCAGCACCTCCAGCAGCATCATCATCATCGTCAGCAGAGTCATCATCATCATCATGAGCATCAGCATCAGCCTCATCAGCATCAGCATCATCATCATCGTCATCATCATCATTGGCATCATGAGCATCATCAGCATCTTCATCAGCATCGCCATCGCCATCATCATCGCGCATCGTAATCAGCATCATCAGCATCAGCATCAACATGATCAAGATAACCATCATCATCACCAGCATCATCATCATCAGAATCAGCATCATGATCACCATGATCATCATCAGCAGCGTCATCATCATCACCATCATCAACATCATCAGCATCAGCAGCAGCAGAAGAATGATCATCAGCAGCATCATCATCAACATCAGCATCATCATCAGCAGCATCAGCATCATCATCAGCATCATCAGCATCATAATCATCTCCATAAGCATCATCATCAGCATCACCTTCCTCAGCATTACCATCATTAGCATCATCAGAAGCCTCATCATCATCACCGGCATCAACGTTGGCAGAATCATCATCATCAGCAGCATCAACATCATCATCAGCATCAGCGGCATCATCACCATTATCATCCTCATCATCAGAATCATCATCATCAGAATCATCAGTATCAGCATCATCATCAGCATCAGCATCATCGGCCGCATCATCGTCAGTATCATCGTCATCATCAGCAGCAGCAGCATCAGCAACAGCATCAGCATCATCGGCATCATCATCGTCATCATCATCAGCATCATCATCAGTAGCAGCAGCATCACCATCACGATCATTATCAGCATCATCATCGTCAGCAGCATCACCAGCATCGTCATCATCATCATCATCAGCATCATCATCAGCCTCATGATCATCATCAGCAGCATCATCAGCATCATCAGCATCATCATCACCATCATCAGCATCATCATCATCATCAGCATCATCATCGTCACCCCCACCACCACCATATCGTCAGCATCATCGGCATAATCATCATCAGTAGCAACATCATCGTGCAGCATCAGCACCATCATCAGCAGCATCATCATCAGTAGCAGCAGCATCAACATCATCATCAGCAGCATCATCATCATTACAAGCATCAGCATCATCATTACCAGCATCAGCATCATCATGGGCGTCATCATATACCATCGGCATCATCATCCGCATCATCATCATCATCATCATATTCAGAATCAGCATCATCAGCATCCGCATCATAATCATGATCAGCATCAACAACATCATCATCACCTTCATCAGCATCATCATCAGCAACCACTACCACTATCATCATCATCATCATCATCGTCATCATCATAGTAATCATAGTCATCATCATCAGCAACATCATCATCATCATCATCATCATCATCATCATCATCATCATCATCATCATCATCATCCGCATCATCATCATCATGATCATCATCATCATCATCATCAACATTATCATCATCGCCATCGTCAGCATCAGCATCATCAGCATCACCATCATCATCAGCACTAGCATCAGCATCATCAGCATCATCAGCAGCAGCATCATCAGCATCATCATCAGCAGTATCATCATCATCCTGATCATAATCATCACCAGCATCATCAGCATCACCAGCATCATCCTCAACGTCATCATCGGCATCAGACTGAACAGCAGCATCATCATCAGCATCATTATCGTCATCATCAGCACCATCATCGTCGGCATCATCATCATCATCATCATCATCATCATCATCATCATCATCATCATCCGAATCATCATCATCATCGTCAGCAGCATAATCAGCATCATCCGCATCAACACCATCATCATCATCATCAGCAGCAGCATCCTTAGCATCAGAATAATCAGCGTCGTCAGCAACATCAGCATCATCAGCATCATCATCAGCATCATCATCAGCATCATCACCAGCAGCATCAGCATCATCATCATCCTCATCATCATCAGCATCAGCATCAGCATGAGCATCATCATCATCACCATCATCATCATCATCACCATCGTCAGCATCATCATCACCATCAGCATCACCTCCACCACCAGCACCATCATCATCAGCATCAGCATCAGCACCATCAGCAATAGCATCCTTATCAGCATCAGCATCATCATCGGCAGCATCATCATGAGCATCATCAGCATCATCCGCAGCATCACCACCACCACCACTATCATCATCATCAGCAGAATCGTCATCAGCAGCATCAGCATCATCATCATGAATAGCATCAGCATCATCATCAGGATCAGCATCATCATCATCATCATCATCATCATCATCATCATCAGCATCATCATCATCATCGTCATAATATTCATCCTCAGCATCATGAGCATCATCAGCATCTTCAGTATCACCATCTTCAGCATCATCATCACCACCACCACCACCATCATCATCATCACCATTTGCATCATCATCATCAGCAGCAGCATCATCATCGCCATCGTCATCACAATCATCATCAGCATCATCAGCATAATCAGCATCATCATCATAATCATCAGCAGCATCAGCATCATCACCACCATCATCAGCACCATCATCGGCATCATCATAATAATCATCATCATCGTCATCATCATCGGCATCAGCATCATCATAATCAGCATCATAATCAGCATCATCAGCATCATCATCGGCATCATCATCATTACCATCAGAATCATCATCATCATCATCGTCAGCATCATCATCGGCATCAGCATCAGCACCATCATCATCAGCATCATCATCACCATCATCATAATCATCAGAATCGTCATCATCAGCATAATCAGCATCATCATCGTCATCATAATCACCATCATCAGCATCAGCATCATCAGCATCGTCATCCGCATCATCAGCAGCAGCAGCATCAGCATCATCATCATCGCCATCATCAGCATCATCAGTATCACCACCACCACCACCACCACCATCATCATCATCATCATCATCATCATCATCATCATCATCATCATCGTCCGCATAATCATGCGCACCCTCCCTTCATTCCCTTCCTCTTCCCCTCCCCTCCCGCCCTGCCTCGGACGAGGGCCCGTTTAGACAACGGCGGCCCCCCTGCCCGGCCCCAATCCGTTCAAAATAGGTCGCCACGAGTCCAACCCGGCCCGTGGCGACGAGGAGCCCCCTGCAGGGACGACACAAACGCCAGCAGGGCCGCCGTGGACTCGACTGGACCTCCTCCTCCTCCTCCTCCTCCTCCTCCTCCTCCTCCTCCTCCTCCTGCTCCTGCTCCTGCTCCTCCTCCTCCTCCTCCTCCCGCTCATTTGTCCTGCTCCAGGCCCATCCTCCCCCCGGGGGAGGCCCAGGCGGAGACAGCGACGGCAGGGCCACCGTGGTCTCTAGTGGGCGGCTCGGGGTCTGGCGTTCGGGTCATAACATGGGTCTCTGGCGTTCGCTCGGGGCCGTTCGGACGCTCCAAAACCGCTCTCGACGAGGCGCGGCTGCCGGAGGACACCCCAGGACGGGACCACCTCCAGGAGCCGACGAAGACGACCATGGACCCGATCCTGCGGCGGGGGAGGCATGGGCGGAGGAGGCGGAGGCGGAGCCCAGCCCGCAGGGCCCCTCCCCGAGCCCCGTTCCGCCCGCGCCCCCGCCTCGCACGCGGGCAGCCACCGCGCCCGCCAGGCGCAGCTGCCGCACCCGCACGCCACGTCCGACAGCCAGCACGCGGCGGCCACCAGCGGCTCCGCAGAGTCCTGAGGCGCGGGCGCTCCGCGAGGCGGCACCGCCGGAGCCGGCGAGCTCCTCCGCCTCCTCGTCAGCCTCCTGCGCCGCCTCCTCCTCCTCCTCCTCCTCCTCCTCCTCCTCCTCCTCCTCCTCCTCCTCCTCCTCCTCCTCCTCCTCCTCGTCCGTGCGTTTGCCTGCTAAAGAACGCCTCCCTGACCCCCGGGACATGACAGAGGGGCGGACCGAGGCGTTTCGCCTGAGACTGTCTCGCCATATATGACCCAAAAACTCGAAATTCGTCATAGTTTGGCGGATCGAAAGCGGTCGTCTTCAAAATGTGATTATCGCCTTAGCGCCGTGCACGTTCACTTTAAAACCTTACAACAGTTCCACGGACCGAGAGCAGGTCGTTTACAAAACATGGCCCTCGCCTTAGCGCGAAGCGCATTCGTCTTAAAATGTTGCAACAGTTTTACGGACGGATGACAGGTGGTTTCCAATACGTGGCGATCGCCTCGGCGCTGAGCACATTCGCTATGAAAAATCGCAACCACTTTAAACATGAAGGGCGATTGCGTTGCAAAATGTTACGTTCGCCCTGGCGCCCAGCAGATTCGGAGTGAAAAAAAGTGTGCAGCAATTTCATGGGCTCATATGGTCGAAGTCCCAGGAACGGTGTTCTTGCGCGTACGATTTAGGTCGCCAGGACGCAACAACCGAGTGGATTCGCGGTGTTGAAATCAGAAAATGTGTGTTCTAGCACGATTTAAGATTGACAAGACGCAAGAGTCGCGGTAATCCGCGGCGCTGAAAGCCCAGGAAAGGGTCTCAGCCTTCACTGGTCCTCCTCCTCCTCCTCATCCTCCTCATCCTCCTCATCCTCCCTCTCCTCCCCTCCTACTCCTCCTCCTCCTCCACCACCTCCTCCTCCCCTCTTCCTTCTCCTCCTGATCCTTCACCTCCTCTTCCTCCTCCTCTTTATGAGAGTCCTCTTAGTAATGATGCTATGATTCATTGTTTCTACACATCGTAGCCATATTAACAATACTAGCCATAAGGATAAAAGTATGATGGGTAACATTTGTATGACCACTCCTAGTACGAATCAGTATAGCAATATCAATGTTAGTAGAAGTAGTAAAAGTAGTATGAGCACTAAGTGTTTGTGTTCGATTACCATGATGTGTAGTAGTTTGTTTCGTTTACGTATCCTTACTTATTGAATCGCGTTGGTAGAGAACGTCGTACTATGCTTAGACGTCGCATTGGTATGTTCATTCTGTGTTCTCGAACTAGTGATAGTATTAGTACTAGTAATTGTCTTCTGTTTCGCATTTATGATCATTGATATGTGTCATTGTCCTAGGATGTTTCGTCATAGTATTGCTAATAGTAATAGATTTGCGTGGTTGGAATACTAACAGTAATGGCATGAATATGTTGAGCATTAAGATGAATAGCATTCATCTTCTTTGTTTTATGGATATTCGTAAGATGTGTGTTCTTATCTTTCGGATCATAATATCTTAAGATGCTTAGTATACTTATTATTACTCATATGCATCAACCTCCTACAACTACTCCTACTCCTCCTCCCCCCAACTCTCTCCTCGCCTCCCCCCCCTCCCCCATCCTGCTCTTGTTCTTGCTCCTGGTCCTCCTCCTCCTCCTCGTCCTCTCCCTCCTCGTCCTCCTCCTCCTCATCATCACCATTTGCAGCAGCATCATCATCAGCATCAGCAGCATCATCATCATCATCCTCATCGTCGTCATCATCATCATCATCATCATCATCATCATCATCATCATCACCATCACCATCACAACGACCATCATCATCATCACCACCATCATCATCATCATCATCATCATCATCATCATCATCATCATCATCATCATCACCATCACCATCATCACCATCCTCATCATCATCATCACCAGAACCATCATCATCAGCATCATCATCATCATCACCAATATCATCATCATCATCATCATCATCATCATCATCATCATCATCATCATCATCATCATCATCATCATAATCATCCCCAATATCGTCCTCCTCCTCACCCCCTCTCCTCTCCAACCCTCTCTTGTCACGGAAACAAAGAAAGCGACGGACGGCTTTTGGCGCTTGTCTGCCTCCAGGAGCCCCTACCTGGCCCTGGGACCGTCCACGAAACCGAGTCGGGACGAAAAGCCGGTCCCAGGCTTCATTCGGGGGCTCTCACCTCCAGTGGCGCACGCTGCGGAAAGACCACGACGCTGGAGGTAAAGGCCTCCTGCCTCGCCCCTCAACTGCTCATTCGGAATCCTCCCCCTTCCCTGACTTAATGTTTCTTCCTCCTCCTCCTCCTCCTCCTCCTCCTCCTCCTCCTCCTCCTCCTCCTCCTCCCCCGATAGCTCGAAGGAGTGGCCCACTCACCCTCTCCCTCCTCTCTCCTCTTGTCGGATCCCTGCGCCCGAGGAGCGCCGAGCCGCTCCCTGCCCGCCCGGCCCTCCTCCGATGTGACTTCGTCAGTGCTCGGCCCGAGAGGTCCCGCCCCCTTCCCCGGGGCCAAGCTGTCGCCCCAGGCCTGGACGCCTCTCCGAGCTCGCTTGGCCTCAGAACACCCGCAAGCCCCGGGGGGCAAAAACCGGACAAAACATAGGATCGTGTGCCGACTCCAGCCGCCTCAGGCTTCTCCTCGCGCCTCTTGGAGCTCTCCTGGACCTCCCCGGGCCCCTCCTTCATCCCATGGAGCCGAACTCAAAGGAAAACGCCCGCTGACAAAAGACAGATCGTCGGTGATCTGGGTGCGCACGCTCACCGGGTAATCTGCACACCCTGAAACGAGTGGGCACGACCAAACGTCATCAGCCCGCGTCCGACCAACCTGCCGCCTCGCCGCGCTCTCTCGCGCCCCTGGAAGCGCCTGCGCGCGAGAGAGCATCGCGCGCGCGGAGCCGCAAGAGGAGGAGGAGGAGGAGGAGGAGGAGGAGGAGGAGGAGGAGCAGGAGGAGCAGGAGGAGGAGCAGAAGGAGCACGAGGAAAAGGAGAAGGGCTTGGAGGAGGAGGAAGAGGAGGAAGACGAGGAGCATAAGCAGGAGCAGGAGGAGGAGGAGGAAGAAGAGCAGGAGGAGGAGGAAGAGGAGGGGGTAGGAGGGAGGAGGAGGGAGGAAGGAGAAAGAAGGAGGAGACAGAAGGAAGGAGGAAGGAATTCCAATGATGAGGAGGCAGGAGGGAGGGAGAGGAGTGGGTAGGGGGAAGGAGGTGGGAGGGAGAACGAAGGAGCCGGATTGGTTTTCCATTGTTTCTCTCTCTCTCTCTCTCTCTCTCTTTCTCTCTCTTTTTGATTCCCTCTCTCTCTCACACTTTCTCTCTCGGACCTTTGGCAGAGAATCCATTGGGTCCCCCATGCGAAACCTGACCTGCTTAGAATCCGGAAGTGGGAAGCCACCTGGAGCAAGGCGATATCGAGGGGCTGATCACTCCCATCGCTGAAGCCTCCAACATGCCTGCCGACGAGGAGGACGGAGGATGACCTGGAGGATGGAGAAGAGCAGGGCGGAGGAGAAGGAGGAGGAGGAGGAGGGGGAGGGGGAGGGCGGCGGAGGAGGAGGAGGAGGAGGAGGGGGAGGGGAAGGAGGGAAGGAGGAGGAGGAGGACGACGACGACGAGGGAACAGGGAGGAGACCTGCTACATCCGGACCCTCCCGCTGCCCCGCACCCGCACGGCTGCCTGGGGAGGCAGCTTCCCGCCCCTGATCCGCTTCGCGATGGTCCCGGGGCCCGCCTGCGCCCCACGAAGGCCGAGAAACAAACCAAAAAAACACTCCCCCCCCCCCCCCTCCCCCCCTCCCCCCCCCAAAAAAAAAAACAAAAAACACGCCCCCAGGGAACGCCACGGCCGAAATAAAAAAAAGCAAAACAAAAAAAAAAACACTCCCCCCCCCATCCCCAAAAGAGAACACGCTGCAGATCTGGGCCCCCCCTCCTCGCCCTCCCTTCCCCTCCCAGACGGGCAGCCCGAAGAGTCCTTCGGCCGGCCCTGCTGAGCGCCGGGCGCGCCCAGCGGCCCGGCCGCGGCCTCCGCCGCGGGGGCGGCGGCTGGACCGGGGGCCGCCGGGGCCTCGGGAGGGGGGGGGGAAGGCGGGGGGAGGGGGGGGGGGGAAGGGATCGCAGGAGGGGGACGGGGAGGGGGGGTGGAACGGGAAGGGGGGGAGGGGGACGGGGAGGGGGGGGAGAGGGGGAAGCGGGAGGGGGGAAGGGACGGGCAGGAGGGGAGGGACGGGCGGAAACGGGGAAGGGGGGGGAGAAGGGGTGGGGCACGGGAGGGGGAGGAGCAAAGGCAGTACAGGGAAGGAGGGGAGCGGGCAGGAGAGGGGAGGGGAGGGGAGGGATAGAAACGTGCCAGTGGGGAAGGCCGTATAATCACACTCACTTACCTATACGACCACCCTTCGGCTGATAAGGAGGTTCGGGGGGGGAGGAACCAACGTCGCACTCGATCAGTCTCACTATCGATATCACTATCGATATCACTATCGGTCTCGCTCGATCGATCTCACTCAATCGATCTCACAATCGATCTCACTCGATCTATTTCATTCGATCGATCTCACAATCGATCTAACTATCAATCTCCCAATCGGTCTCACTATCGATCTCACTATCGATATCAAAGTCGATCTCACATTCGGTCTCTCTATCGATCTCACTATCGGTATCACAATCGATCTCACAATCAACGTCATCATCATCAACGTCATCGTCATCAACGTCATCAACATCATCATCATCATCATCATCATCATCATCATCATCATCATCATCAGAAGCATTATCATCGGGACACCATCATCATCACCTCATCACCATCATCATCAACATCATCATCACCATCACCATCACCATCACCATCACCATCATCATCATCATCATCATCATCATCATCATCATCATCATCATCATCATCATCATCATCATCATCATCATCATCATCATCGGGACACCATGATCAACATCATCATCGGAACACCATCATCATCATCTCATCATCATCCTCATGAACAACATCATCAACATCATCATCATCATCATCATCATCATCATCATCGGGGCACCATCATCATCATGAGCAACATCATCATGATCATCAACATCAACATCAACATCAACATCATCATCATCATCATCATCATCATCATCATCATCATCATCATCATCATCACCGGGACACCATCATCATCGTCACCAGCATCATCATCACCATCATCATCATCGGGACACCATCATCATCATCAACATCAGCATCATCATCACCGGGCCACCATCATCAAAATCATCATGACCCCATCATCATCCTCATCATCAAATGCACATCATTATCATAGGGACACCATCATCATCATCATCATCATCATCATCATCACCATCATCATCATCATCATCATCATCACCACCATCATCATCATCATCATCATCGGGAAACCGTCATCATCATCATCATCATCACCATCATTATCATCGACATCATCATCATCAACCTTATCATCATCATCACCGGGACACCATCATCATCATCATCATCATCATCATCATCATCATCATCATCATCATCATCATTATCTTCATCATCAGCATCATCATCTCATCATCACATCATCATCAAAATCATCAGGATCATCGTCGTCATCATCATCATCATCATCATCGGGACACCATCATCATCATCAGCATCATCAGCATCATCAGCATCATCAGCATCATCAACATCATCATTGGGACACCATCATCATCACCACCATGGCCATCATCATCACCATCATCATCAACATCGTCAACATCACCATCATCACCATCATCATCATCATCATCATCATCATCATCATCATCATCATCATCATAATCATCAGGACACCGACGGGACACCAGCGGGACACCGGCGGGACACCGCGCCCCACCATCATCATCACCTTCGGGACATCATTATCATCAACATCATCATCATCATCGGGACACCATCATCATCACCACCATCACCATCATCATCATCAACATAATCGACATCATCATCATCATCATCATCATCATCATCATCATCATCATCATCATCATCATCATCATCATCATCATCATCATCATCATCATCATCATCATCATCATCATCGGGACACCGACGGGACACCAGCGGGACACCGGCGGGACACCGCGCCGCACCGGCCCCGGGAAAGGAAACATTTGGTCCGGCCGCGCCTCAGCCGGAGGCGGGACACCGGCGGGACACCGGCGGGACACCGCGCCCCACTGGTCCCCGGAAAGGAAACATTTGGTCTGGCCGCGCCTCAGCCGGAGGAGACTTTCTTCTCGCCCGCCCACGCAGCTTCGCCTCGCCCGCACGCACGGCACGCACGAACACGAAACCGAAACCGACTTCCCGGTAAGGGGGCTCTCCGTTCCACTTCGATCTCACCCCCTCACCTCCGACACCGCCCCCAATCAGCTCTTGCCCGGGAGTTTGGTGCCCAGCTCTCTCGTCCCTGCTCCGTCCTCCCTCCTCCCCCCCACGCCCCTCCCCCCTCTTACAACGTCCCACACGATGGGAGAGTGGGAGCGGGAGGGAAGAGGGCAGAGAAAGGAGGATTGGGTCTGTGTGTAATCTACGCCCCCCTTGGGGGGTTCTTGGGCCGTGTTTGGGCGACCTGGGCGGTCTCTTGGGCCGTCTTGGACGCTCTCAAGAGAGAAAAGAAAAAATGCGCGAACAACTGCATAACGACAGAACCGATGGGTTGGGAGGAGAGTCTGGGCCCCATGGGCCGGCCCCGAGAGCTCCCAAGACGGCCCCAGAGGTCCCCAGGGCTCCAGGGAGGCCTCAAGGGACCATCCTGGGGCATGCTGAGCATCCGTTTCCCGAGCCGCGTCCCCAGGGCTTCTGGAAAAGTCGCGCGGCGATTCCCCAGAGCGCTCACGCTCGCCAGGGAACACCCAGAACTGCGTGCTCCTGGCCCCTCAAAGATTATCTGCTTCATACGCGGAGCCCAAATTGGCCTTAAGGCACTTCGGTCAGTGCCTACGGCACAGCGTCTCATCCTCGGGCAGCCTATACAGTTTCCCAGGCAATGCTTGCACTCAGGATTTCTTACTTCAGGTTGCTAAGGAATTGGGTTGGTGTGTCGGGGTTTCGGCTGGTGCCCAGTTGGTGCCGCCTCGTTGCCGCCTCGTGCGCTGGGTGGGTGTCTCAGGGTTTCAGCTGGCGCCGCCTCGCTCCCGCCTCATACTCTAGGCTTCCATGACATTGCTTTCACCACATGGCGTACACCACATAGCTTACACCACATAGCTTGCACCAACTAGCTCACACCGCATACACTACGAAATCGGCATAGACATGCCTACGTACCAGTCCACTTGGGGAGCTGCGTGAACGGCGTAGGCTCCATTCGTCCGAAACTCGATTCGCCCAGGGCTCGACTCGCCCAGGGCTCGACTCGCCCGGGCTCGATTCGCCCAGGGCTCGAACCGGCGGGCTCGCTTCGCCCGGCGCGCTTCGCCCAGGCTTCGTTCGCCCTCCCTCGGCTCGCCCGGACCCGGCTCGCCCAGCTCGCTTCGCCCGGCTCCAACCCTCGACGAGGCGGTGGCCGCCCGTCCGACCCGACGCGCCCGACGGGGCCCGCCCGACCCGCCCGACCCGACCCGCCCGACGGGGTGCGCCCGGCCGACCCGACTCGCCCGACGGGGCCCGCCCAGCGAAGCGAGCCCCTGCGGAAAAACGGGCCCCGGCGAAACGAGCCCTGGCGAAACGGGCCCCAGCGAAACGAGCCCCGCCGAAGCGAGTCGGGCGAACCGAGCATCGGCGAACCGAGTCCCGGCGAAACGAGCTGGGCGAGTCGAATTGGGCGTACCGAGGCCCGGCGAAGCCAGCCCTGGCGAACCGAGCCCCGGCGAACCGAGACTACGGCGAACGGAGTCCGTACCGCATGGACACCGTGCAACCGCAAAGCGAACGTTGCTCCGAGTTCTGAGATTAGCCGACTCCTGAGGAGACCGCCCGACAGTGCACGGGAGAAAACTCTCTCCAGGTTGTAGAGGGGAGGAATCCCAGCAGGGAAATCCAAAGATGCGCGGAAGGTACAGGGAGGCAAACAACAATCTTGCCACGGGCGGGAAGCACAAAAAGAGGAGGAGCAGCAGCAGCAGCAGCAGCAGCAGCAGCAGGAGGGGAGAGGAGCAGGAGGGCCGACGAGGGACGCGGAGGCCGTCGAAGGCCCGCCGTTCCTGGGAGCCCACCCCCGCGCCTGAGCCGGGGCGTGGGGCCCGTGGGTTCCGTGCGCCCGGCCGCCGCGGCGCGCCGGATGAACACGGAAGCCGGCGCACCCCACGGGGGGGTCGGAGCTCACGAGGCCCTCGGGGGAGAAGAGGGGAGAGGGGAGGGGGGGGGGGGGAAGGGAGGGAAAAGGAAGGGGAGGGGGAGGTGAGGGGGAGGGGAGGGGGAGGAGGGGAGCGGGGGCGGGGAGCAGGCGGCCAGGAGGAGCGGAGGGGGAGTGAGGGGCAACAACAGAGAAGGACAGGCCAGTGGGGGTGCCAAAACGGCGCGGCGACAGACCGTGCGGTGACGCGAATGGAGCGGGAGTGAGGAACAACGATAGGGTTGGACAATTGGAGGAGAAAGGAGGGACAACGAGAGGGCACCATGAAATCCTGGCGTTGCAATAGTTTCGCACTGGGCGTTTTCGCGCTCTGTGGCCCACGCTGCTGTGGTCGCGATATCTCGTGATGTCGTATGTTTCGGCGACGTCAGGCTTCATGGTAAGAGGCCCCAACCCCTCCCCAGGGGACGGCAGATGTTGGGTGGCAAGACCCAAGGCAACGGCCGTTCCTGAAGGTGCGGCGCTGAGCACTGAGGATTTGCGCTGGCCTTCAGCCAGGCCTCGCCTGGACTTACATGTTTTCCACACACACACACACACATATATATATATATATATATATATATAATGTTTGTTCCTGTCAGTGTTTCGTTCTCCCTCTCGCTCTCTCGCTCTCTCTCTCTCTCTCTCGCCCCGGAGCGAGCGACGGTCCTGACAATCGTCAGGCAGCGAGCGACAGGTGGCCACAGCGTGCAGCGGAGTG